GCTACCCTGTTGAAACTTTAATCACTCCCTGAGCATTTTATTACCTTCTTACTTACTTCATGTTTGTCTTCTTATCACTTAATCAATATCTAAGTCACAAAATATTTTATTCATTTATCTTGTTTATAGTCTATTTCTCCCACTAGAATATACACTTAATGAGAGCACGGATTGTTGTCTGTCTTGTTTGTTACATCCCCAGTGCCTAGATATGCCTGGATTATGAAAGGTACTAAATATGTATTTGTTGTTTTTTGGTTTTTTTTAGCTGAGCCCTCCTGCCACCTGTTGGCAACTATTATGTATTTGTTGAATGAATCAATATTATACCATACTACAGATAATTGTAAATAATGTTAGATAAGCCAGGTAACTCGTGTTCAATGGTACCAAACTGTTACTAATTTTTATTGAAATCATATCTTGTAGAACATAAATTTTTCTGTCATTTCATAAAAGTACTAAAAATGGTAGTAAATAAATAGCCATTTTATCTTATTATATGTTAAAACCTAATTATGGATTTTCTCATGGTACGTATAAAAATTCTATATTTTAATTTCATTTAAATATTTTATTTCACCCCAAAAAACAATGCTTCGCAAAATGTTTATTTCAGAAACAAATTAATATTATTTGATAGCAACTAAGAAAAAACTTATTTGTCAAGCCATTTTAATTATCACTTTTGTGATATAGACTATGGCCCCATTCATTTTATTGATGATAAATTTTGGAATTTATTGGCAGTGAGTTTTAGTGCTTTGGATTTTTGAAATCTATGTTTAAAAATTCAAATATCACATTTTTATATTTAAAACATTAATTACATATTACTGAAAATTTATGGGAAATTTAGGGAAAAATAATCTTTAAAAAAAAGAGAGATAGCCCTGAAGTACTTTCAGGCTCTCATTATGAACATTATCTAATGTTTCTGAGAAGCTCTGATTATTATTATTTTTCTTTATTTATACTAGAAGTTACATGGGAAGACCAACAGAAAAAGGTGAATGGTACAATAATTGATGACATACCATTGCCGAAAAAGAAACACCAATCTGAGCCAGGTTTGTCAGGGTTTGGAAAACCACTGAAAGCATGAGACGATAAACATTGCATTTCATGCTTTTTAAATATGTGTGTGCTTGTTATACCTCATTTTTCTCATTTTGGTGTGAACTTTATAGTGTTTAGAGCCTATTTAAATTTGAGTGGTGAACACTTTTTTCAAGATTTATTTAGAAAACTAATTCTACATATTTTGGAAATAAGAACAATTATTTTATTATTAAGATTACTTCATTAGGAAAAAAATTGACTAATATAAGCACAAATGGTCATTTGTATATTTGGTTGTTTTGACTCAAATTAAAGTTTTTTAATGAAGAGGTACTTGCTTTCCTAAAAAATAGAAACCTCAATATATCATTTAAATTTTGTGTTTGTAGGCCATTCCTTGTTTTTCATTGCAAATGCTACTGAGGTATTATATAATATACTAGTAATGATTTATTTACAATTTCTGAAGCTAAAAATATTGCCAACAAAAAAAAAGGAATGAAAGCATAGTATGTGAGTTCAATAAAGAGTCTCTTCAAACTATTAATTCTACCAATAAGCTGAAATAAAATGATTTTATTTCCCCCTCTCTTTCTTCTCTTTTTTGGAGAGATATGATTAACTAACTAGAAGACAAAAACTTGAACCAGGACTAAAAGAAAAAGAAACAAAGTACAAAGATAATCAATCAACTGAATAATCAGTATTACTTTTAATCAGTAATTGAATGAGAGTACATTGAAAATTTTATTCAAAATTTTAAAATGCAAATGGAATTTTTGATAATAATATCATTTAAGTAAATGTGTGTCTATAGTAAGAGTGTAATCTATTTTATGTGGTGACTCATTTCCTGTTAGATCTCTAAAACCAATATTTTAAAATACATCATTGTATAGATTAAACTAACTTATTAGCAAATATTCATTGCTATCCTGTTGTATGCCAGGCATTGTGGTTGACCCTGAATTATTGGGGCAGACAAGATATATACAGCGATTGCCATCATAGAGCTTACATTCTGGCAAATACGCACAACTTAAAAATAATTATACTGATGATTAAATTATTACAATTGTGATAATGCTATTAAGGAGAATAGGATGCTTTGAGAAAAAGTATTATGTTACATAACGTCTGAAGAGCAAGGAGAAACGCCATAGTGCAAATGCCTTAGTCTGTGAATTCTCTTTTAGTAAAACCGTTATATACTAAAATGTAATAAAAATAAATTGCATTTCATATTGGGATTTTAAACATATTCATAAAGGTGTAAGAAAATATCTTCCTTTTTTTTTTAATCTTTGACTAAGAATCATTCAGTTCATTTGGAAAACAATGGTATATTATTATAAATTAGTATATTTAAGGAGATTTTAAAAAGTAAACAGAATGTATAAAATTACTTTTATGTTATGATTTATATAACAAATATTATTATTGTAATCATCTTTCCTATATTGTGTGATGTGGATTATCTTTGGTCATAAACTATTATTTATTTGTCTTGTTTGCCCTCCTGTCGGATTACCTGAACATATTTGTGGCCATATATATCTATGTAAATAAATTACATTATATATTAAAATCATGAACCAATGCAATGTGGCTAAAAAATATTTTAAAATCTCACAAACAAAATCTTAAAGATCTTTAAATAATGTTAATTTGTGTATTCTTGTATGTAGCATATATTTTTATCACTTAAGCCCTCTAATGGAATATAAACTATGTATGCAATAGAGGGAAATTAATGCAATTAGAGTGCCTTAATGCCATGGTTTAAAATGTTTATAGATTTTCCTATTTGGGCAATTGTACATTTTTCTATATACTAGGAAATTTCTGGATATTCAAACCCCAAATATCATGAGTAAGTATGCAATGTGCTAAGGCAGTGAATGCTATGTTAAATTTTAGTTTTCCATAAATATTTGTTTTTTCTGAAAGAAAGGTAGGATATGAGGGAATATTTTTAATTATTGGAACTTTGGAGTGACAAAATAGTAAGATATCAGGTGGGCTAATTACTTTTCAATAACTTGTGTATGAGTTTGGGCTCTACAGAGACATGCTTGGAGTCATTTTATACTTAAGTACATCTATGATATTAATAATCTATTCATTGTCATCAGTGTTTAACACATAATTTTTATTCACTAGAGCCTCAGAGATTATCTTTCATTAATTGTCAAAGATTTTTCATCAGAGGATTATTGTAGTAAACTTGTGATATTAGAAAACGTTTGGGAGGGTTTAAACCCAAACCTAAGATGCCAAGTTGGCTGTGTGTCAATAGCATATATTATTATATTTTTAATGAAAGTCTGTACAAAACAATAGCTGGGAATTTTGCCATTTTTAGGATGTATACTAACAATAAAAACTATCACTTGAAATTTTTATTTTAAATATAAGATTATAGAACTGAAGGGCTAAATTGCATTATATAGAGTAGAAAATGAGTTACATGTATGCATGGACTTTATAGGTTATGGACTAGTATCTGTTTTTTTTTTAAAGAATATTCTTGGCATCTCTGAGACTGTTCTAAGAGGATTATCAGTAAAAGGGGTGATTTATTTTAAGTATCTAACTTAATTGACAGAAGTATAGATGAAGATCCCTGTGGAAAATAATATTTATCTTATTCGTATCTTTGGTGTGAATGTAAAATATAACACTTATTTAAAATCAAGTGATTTTACACCACAGGTTTTATGGGTAATGTTTGGAGTAAATCACTAAATGTCTTCCTCATGTGAATGTAGATTAGATTTTGTTTAGGCCGTAAAGTAAACAAAGCATCCTTAATGCAAATCAAGCATATATAAGCATGGAAAATCTGTTGTTCAGTTTTTTCAGTGAGCAATCTGATTCTAACCTGAATACTATGGTCTATAATAATGCAGTTATTTCAGTTATTAAATTTCAATTATTAAGCATTGTAAAACAAACTTTAATCTGTTTAACTTTATTATAATTTTGAATCTGTGAGTTTTCTGTTCTTATAGTAATTAGAAATATATCAGAAAGGAGCACATTTGTACATAAAATATTTTATCTCGTATTTTCCTTAAACTCATCCCACAAAAATGTCTGGTTGAGAAAGCTAACTTCATTTAGACTGAATGAATGTTTAGAATTGATACAGTTTCTCAGTTCCCCTAAAATGAGAAACTCTTAGAATTGAATACTTCAGAATATACTTTCTGATTAATTTAAATGATTTCTAATGTGTTTAATAATTAATTGTTTATGAAAGGATTATCTTCCTTGATTTGTTATTTTCTAAGTCTAAGGTGTACTATATCTAGGAAAGTCTTGAATTGACTTAACTACCCTTGTTGTATTTACCCTAAAACCATGACAATGTTACTTACCTTGCTGTATCTTATCTGGAAAATACATTTTTCTGGAAAACTGAGGGCAATGAAACACTTTCCTGGGTTACTATATGACTGTCAGGTATTTTGGAAATCGAAAATGTTCAAAGTAACGAGTTATGTTTTACTGCTTGCTGTAACATCTTGTGTGCATAAGTGCCTAGTTTTACCATTATATTATTTAGTTAATATATTAACCTTTAATTTTTTTCCAACATGGACGTTTCCATGTTGTATTCTTTATAGATCTGTAACTATGGTGAAGGTAGAGATATTTTTTCTTAGTTTTACCTTTGGAATTATGCTTTGTAAAATTTTGTCTTAAAGAAAAAGTAAATATTCAGAGGTGATTTTCTTAGTGAATTTTATACTTTAAATTTTTTTCTTGAGTATTTTAATGTAATGGACTTTTCTTTTATTCTTGAATACTTCGATAGATGTTAAAAGTAGAAATAATTATTTTAGTCTAAATCAATATTTTCAATTAGTCTTCTAATTAGATGCCAAATAAATCCATCTAATCTGGAAAAAAGAATTAGAGTTGTTCTTGGTCAATTATTAGCCAATTGGTAATTTCTGATTATTTCTGGATTCTTGTAGAATGACTTTTTATTTTTGACAGAAAAAATAAAGGTGATGTAAAACAAAGTAAATATTTTATACAACACAAACCAACTGATGGAATTTTGTAATTTAGTACTACTGTCACCCTCAGACGTAAATAGAGCATTCTTTGTTAACAAGCATGCTTTCCTGTAAATAAAGGAAAATTCATGATTTATGAGTTTAATATCTCACTTAAAATTAGTTCATACTAGTTTTCATACTCTGAACATACACTTAAGTTTATAAGGTCAAGGCTGTATTTTAAGTAACTGTCCTTTTTATGATGATAAGTAGCCTGCTATAATTTGAAGCCCATTATTTTAAAGTCGCTCAATATATACTAAGTATACTTTTATTCTGCATTTAAAATTGCATTATGTATCAGATTTCAAAATAGAATCAGAAAAACACAACTGGGAATAAGAAAGACATTTAAAAGATTAACGTTTCTTAGTGAGCATTAAAAATAGTGAAATATTTAAAAGATTCGTCCTTGCTTATTTTAATAGGTAGAATTTATTGTAAGTGTTCAGTAATTTTATGGTTGCTAACAAAAGTATGGAAAGTAATAATTAGTTTTAAAAATAAATTCAAATCACTTGAATTGAGATATTTTCAACAGATTTTTGTCACAGTAGAGAAGTTTTAGTTTGAAATCAGTAAACTTGGTAAACATTTTATTTTTATATTCTAGGTCTATCCAGAGCTTTATATCATTGGGACTCTAAGTAGATGCTTATTTAGGCTTCATTTTGAAAGGTTTCTCTCTTTTCCCCAAAGTAAACTTTCTAAGACTCCTATGACCTTTAAAAAGCCTTCATAATATGATCAGCTTTTAATTATGTAGAAGTTTTAATATACACTTAAAGTTTTGAGGCCTCTCTTTCATTGTCAGGAATCCTTTAAACAAATGCTTACACCTATAAGACATATGTTTACTCAACTACAATTAAATCTGATAATAGGACCAATATTATGTCTGTTGTAAATGCTGATAAATGAAAACATTAACCAATCAACAAAATTTCAAACAGATATTATACACCCTTGTTAAAAATTGCATTCATGGGTAAACAGGCCCCATATATATGCCTTTTTTAATTAATATGATTACAGATTATTATTTTTGTTTGAACTTGAAATGTGTTTAGTTTAAATATAATAATAGTTAATACTATTTATATTGGCAAGGGAAATCTTTTTGATCTGTACTAAAGTTTACATGAAATCTGATGTTATAGTCATTCTCATGAACTTACTTTTTAAATCAAATATGTTAATGAAATGATTATTTTATGTATCTATTTCTCTTCAGTAGATTTTTTTTATTTTAAAAACCAATACAGAACTATTTTGCTTGATTAAAAGCCCATTCTTTTTATAGTTTGTACTTTGTTCATACCTTAAGTTTAAAAATATTTGTTGAAAAATAGTTTACTGTAAGTGATGAGATGATGTTTATGAGTTATTCATTATATTTTCTAAAGGTCATCTATTTCAGTACTATATATAAAAATATTTATTTCTCTTTTGTTCATCTGATGGAATGAACTAAAAAAATACTGTGCATTCTCTTTACAAAGTCTTTATAATTTTAAGATTCAGCCATAATTGTGAAAATATGGACACCTAAGAGACAGTACACTTTTACTATCCTCAATCACTCTTACTGGTTATTGATTAAATGAACCACTGGAAAGAGTTCTCATTAGAATTGCCATTAACAGTACTGCAAAGTAGAATGTTTGTGGCAAAGTAATGATTAAAGGAAAGGTAGGGAGATAGGAAGAGTGGAGGGGGTACTCTTAGCTTCTTCAAGGTGCACTGAAATCTGCAATTCATTACAATATATGTGAAATGATAATTTATAGTTTATTGCCATTTAAATAAGACATGGCTGTTTAAATGAATAGTTGACTATGTTTCTTTTTCAAAATGAGGCTGTTTTAATACAAATAGTATACAATAAAAACTGTAACAAGAAGAAAGACAAGAAAGCCAAAATTTTTTTTAAATGTATTTGGTAAAACTGTAAGTTATACATTGAGATTTTTATGATTTAAATGAAAATTCTATCTTCTAATTAAAGTTAAATGATTTTTATATAATATTAGTTGTGATCTATGTATTAATGGATCACATTCAAATAAATGATGGAAAATTATTTAATGGCACTTTCAGTTAGTAGTAAGTTCTTTGCCAAAATCTTTCATTCTCATCCTTATGTAATATAAATTTTGTATAATTTTCTTTGAAATTATTAAATTATTGGTGTTAAGAAAAGTGTTATATTTCTCACAAAAGTAAAAGCACTAGTGAACTACTCGTGTCATTTTGCCATGTACCTTTTTAAAAAACATTCTAGTTAAATACTATATAATAAATATATTTAGTGAGGTGTCACCATGAGAAGATTTTTTTGTTTTTTCCTTGTTTGACTTTTTATTTCACATGTTTTTATTGAGTCATTTAGCATCTAGTAAAAAGAAAATTGACCTGGTAATCAGGAGACCTATGTTCTATTTCTGGTTCTGCCACTGAACTTGTGTGACCTTGGGTAAGTCACTTGAACTCTGTGTGTCTCATTCTCTAATAAATTAATGAATGGAGTAAGAAGAGTTTTGAATCTGTACAGCATGAAAAACTATACACAATGCCATTATAAAATAATCTAAGGTGCCGGAAAATACTAGGTAGAGAAAGAAGCTTCATTTGTTTGTTGTTTTTATGTTTTCTGTAAAATAAAAAAAGTGTTTTCTTAGAGATGGACTATACTTAAGCAATTATTTTGTCCAATTTATACTGATTTCATTTTAATGTGCAAGGAAACTATTTTAGCTGTATGATAAATATATGTAGGGAAATTTTGTATAGAATGAATAATGCAAGACATGAAACAATTCAGCTAACCTATGATATTAATATACTCTGATTTTTCTGTCTTTTCTTTGAGAAATGGGTGGACTGGGGATGGAAAAGGAAATATGACAAGTGTATGAATCCATTGAGGAGCACAGTGCTTTTCTAGTGGTCAATTCTATTAGCAGAGTCTGGTTTGTAATATAATTATGATGAGATTTAGTTTCTGATTTTGAATAGGTCAAAGATGTGCTTGTACAATAATCAAAATGACATTGTTAAGTTTCAAAATGTGTCGTATCTTTTTCAATTCTCTATAATTCATACTAGGATTTCTCTTTTTCCTAAGAAAAAAATTTTGGTCATCTTAGCACTTTTTTCCTAATGGAAAGATTTTGTTTTCTCACTCTTCAGGAAGAGAGATAATTTGTTATTGGATAGTATGCTCTCAAGAATTATAATTTCTACACATCAATATTCCAAGTGTAGTTTGATACACTATGGTTTTCTATAAATCATTCAAAAACTATGATACAACCATTGCAGAAGTGAATGTGGTGTTTTCATTTATGAATTTCGTGGTACCTGATTCAAAGTTAAGTAGGTAATTAAGATTTTTGGTTTTGTGTTATATTGTTTATCTGTGTCAGTCCTACTAATCCTAACTCACTAGTATCTTTGGAAGACATTATTTCTTTGAATGCTGAGTTTAGCAGATATTTCCTGCTTTCAATAACTGTAAAACATGTCTATTGAACTTCTCTACTGGCAATGAGGAAAGAAGTGTTTCCAAAATGTGTGCTATACCTATCACAGCAGATGTGGGATTTGGATGGGCAAATTTGATAGAAACATCATAATCTGTTATGTGGTGTCTGTAAGAACTTTCTTAATAAATAGACATTATAAGGAATACAATCAAAGACAATTTGCCTAACGTGAAGGCTAATTTAAATTTTCAATATTTAAATAAAACCATATATTTCAGCTACTTTTCTTATAATGAATTTTATGTTTGTTACTCTCCATAATATTTTTATGTTAACATTTTGTTATGCTGAAGTAATTCAATGAAATATTGGCCTAATGGCCATACTTTATTTTCATACGTGCCCTGAAACTTAAAAGGCATAGAAATCTGTTGGAAGTATTTTGATTGCTTTCTTTGAAGATGTTGCAATTAAATTTTTTTCTTTAGATGATAATTAAAAAATTCTGACAGCATTGCACACATGTAAAATGGACTCAGGAGTGTGTTGAGCAATATCGTCATACAAGTAACAAGGTTTTTACTAATGGTATCTTTCTTCAGCATCAGTGTTCAGGATTGGCTGTCTACAAATAATTGTAAACTTTTGAATCCTCTTTTTTTCTATACTAACTTTATTTTTCTGATTCTGCTAACCCATAATAGCTTAACCAATTCACTATCAGTTCTTCTGTATTCTTTTTTTTTTAAATATGGTGTGTATTTGATTATATTTTCCCTACCACTATGCACAGGATTCTTTCTCAAAATGATTTGGGGCCCTTCCTTCAGTGTCACTTTTTACCTTTTGGGTACATCCACTCACACCCATCTCCTTTGTCTATGTCTGTCCTTTACACGATGTGATCACAGAAGAAGTGGACACCACACGGAGAAGACACGCAGGTCTGTCTCTTCTACTGCTTTTCTTTGTTCTTTTTTCATTTAGCTAACTTGTCTGAGAAATTTTTTACTCTTTTTATTTATTTCTTAAGTTTTCATTCTCCTCTAATATAACAAAATGTTAAATCTTGCAGGTATTTTTATTTTAGGCAATTGCATTTTCAACTTTTAACAGCAACTGCAATTAGATGGATAAATATAAAGTGATTAATTTTCATGTAATATGTATGTGTATAATTTTTACCATAACTGGGTAACTAACTTCAGATCCAAAGATAGATAGATAGATAGATAGATAGATAGATAGATAGATAGATAGATATCAGCTAGATTATATTAAATTATAATTTTTTTCCAATTTATTTTAGACTTAAATCTTGTTTTTAACGTACTTTTTACATAATTCAAAAACTTGTATTTCTATCATGGGTTCAGCAATGTTCTAGACTGTGGAAAATACTAAAGAACTAACATATGCCTTAAACAAGTTATCAATATCACTGTGGGTAACATGTTATGTTTATGTGCCAATATATATGACTAACAATATGTTTTACAAAGCTATAAAGTTAAATAAAATTTATTTTAACTAGATGGCTAGAAAAGGCCTCATGAAAGAAGTAACACAAACTAAAACATGAACGTTCATTCAACACTCATTTATTAAGCACATGCTGTGTGGTACTATTCTAGGTGCTGGAAATAATAAAACATGCAAAATAGCCCTCCATCCTTGTGGGCTTTTTCTAGTGTGAGTCTGACAAATAAACAAAATAATATTACAGGTACTATGAGAAATCTATTATATATACAGAATACAATGGAATCACAAAGGATGGTGTGATCATTTCTACCTGAAAAGGGTGGATGGTATTTCAAGAAACACTTCATAGAAGACACGACCCTTAAAATGAATGTTAAAAACTAGAAAGAGGCCTCATGTGTAGAGAGCTTTGCAGGTAGAGGAAACAATATACACAAAACGTTTCAAACAAGTTTAGGCAAAAGTAGGCAGCCAGTGTTTCTGAAGATGGTGTAGGTTATTGAAGCATGTAAACTAGGAGAAACAAGATCAGATATTTGCTTCTGGAAAGGTTACTTAGAAGCCGTGTAAAAAAATGTACTGAAACAATACAAGCAGAATATCATTTATGAGAATTTTGCATCAATCAGTTAAGAGTTGATAATGGGCTGAATTATGGTATCAGTAG